CAACCCTCTTGTTTTTGTCACTGAGATCTTTGAGGGGAATTACAAACCAGCTCAATCTGCAGAGCATCCTGAGACACAATGTGTGGAATCAGACTCCAGCCAGGCTGCTGCCAGCTCCAATACATCCCATTCCTTTGCCAACCTTCTGCTGTCACGTCGGCATCTGGGTCCACCTCCATTCTGAGCCAAAATCAGGAAAGCTCCACATAAAGGATTAACGTTTGCAAAAATCTGACATGAAATTTTGGACCCAGCATCTGTCAATGACAGCTCCAAATCCATCTTTGTTGAGTTTTCTGCCAAGAAGATTGACAGAAACGATCTTTCAAGCATCGAGTCGAGTTCTGAGCTGCTGTTTCAACCAAAAGCGTCTGAATATTTATGTTAAAGTCATCCTTCAGTTGTAATAAAATTATAAACATCTTCAAACACTTGGTTGCCGCAGAGGATAATGTTCCATGGATCCATAGAGGGAATCAAGCAGAAACATAACAAACTGTGGAATATTTGAAAAGTTGTGGAAACATTTTAGCGCTGTGTGCTTGCGTTGGTTTCCACTGGTTGACATATTGCGTCATTATAGGGTTTATTAAAACTGAGGAGAGATGAAATGATAAAATAATTCCAACTAACTTCAAATATTTGGTTTTTGTGTGTCGGAGTGACAGGAAAATCAGTCAAACTGGGTTTACACTGAATTCACCCAGAAACAACACAACTTTCTACATTAAAGGCCCTTTTAAAAACATTTGGTGCCACATAAATTTGCATGAAGTTCTGTCAAAAAATCCCTCTTGCTGTTTTCTATTTGAAAGGCTAAATGACAAATGGAGTGCAGGAATGCTGCGCTCTGTGTTTCTTCTGCAAAATTTATTGTTGTGCTGAAGGAAAAGCTTAAACTCTAAATGAATCGTGTTTTCTGGCTCTTTAATGTTTGTTTTGTTCCAGTTATTTTTTTTTTTTACTGTATCAGCATATTTTCCACCTCAGGAGCCCGGCTGAGCGAGGATCCGTGATCGTGGAAGGACGACATCTTTTATCTTTATTTCTGTTTTTACAGGCTTTTATTTTTTTTTTTGATAAGGATTATAAACAAAATATCAATACACTTCAAATTGTTGATAAACCGCGGTTACATCCTGTCAAGCTAAAAAGAAAGCGGGCTGTTACCGAGGAAATGGTGGAAAGGTTAACAGCTACACTCCTTTTAGAAGTCACAGCTATCTTCAGATAAACTCAGATGTTGGATGTTTTTAGAGATAACATTCTGGACCGCTGCGCTGGTGGAGACGTTTACAGCTGTCAATAAAAAACATCCATCCTTCATCTTTTAGAAACCTTTAAAGATGGAGTTTAAAGGATTGCAATGTGCTTTGAAATTATTCAAGTTTTCTTAAAGAGCAAGTCACCCCCTACCAGATTCTTACTCAACTCCCACTTCCTGTTTGAAAAATGCAACAAATGCTGTTGCCTAGCAGACCGAGAGGGAGGAGCTGCTAACAAACACACCCACACACAGGCTCACAACAACATTGTGACATCATATGGTACCAGCTAACGTTCTAGGGTACCTCTTAGCCAATAGCGATGGCAGATTTGAATTCAAATGCAGTGTAGAGTTTTTACCTGACAACTACACAACACTGTCAGTTTTAGGTCAGAAAATAAAAATTTTAACTAAACTGCACTAAAGTGCAAAACTATTGACTACATGTGTCTGCAGCATGATTACACACACATTTATATAGTTTATCAGACAAAAATGGTTGATTTGGGAGTGACTTGCTCTTTAAATGTTCCACGACTGCCAGCAGTTTAATTTTCTGATATCTTTTCTAAATGTCAAAAAAAAAGTTAATTCTGCAAAGTTCTGACATTTAGTGAGCTGCAGCAACAGTGTGCTTTTTTACAACCATGCTGATAACAAATTATCTACGAGTCACATTAAAACACAGAAGCAAATGTGTGTATTTTTGCTTACGTTTGATTTGTTCCACTGTCCACTTTGTGCATAAAGCTTAATAAAGGTTTAAAATGTACAGATAAAATATTTTTCATGCAGTGAATTATGTTATTTTTTTTTTTATTTGTTTCAGATGTTCAACCAAATACTTTAGTTCAGAATCTTCTGATTTCAGAACATGGGACTGGTAGCGCAGGCTGTGGGGCATGGAAGCCCATTCTCGCAACTCTTATTAAAAAAGAATAACTTGTATCTCATAACTGTGACTAAGCCATTTCATAATGAGATAGTCCATCCATCCAGTTTCTGAACCCGCTTGCCCACGTAGGGTCGGGGGGAGGGGGGGGGGGTGCCTGGTGCCTATCTCCAGCGGCAGTGGCGGCTGGTGAAAAATAGTTTTGGTGGGGCTGTGCTATTTTTTTTTAAAACAAACTTGTGCTTTCTGAGCTTTGTGCACAACTTCACTATTTCGTGAATTAAGCACAGCTCTTTTATTTCCTGTCTTACATTATTGGACAAAGGGATTAATCCAGGTGTGTCTGACTATTGGCACGCTGCCTTGCGGACCAAGGTTGAAAAATACTGCATTAAATTGCACATAAAATAACATGACCATATATGGTCCACATCCACATTACTGTTTGTGAAACTAACCTACTGGAGAATTTCATCACAATAATATTAAATAAACAAGTATGTACCTGATCTTTTGCATACTGTTGGTGAAGCTCTGGATGACTCCTGTGATGGAGACAGAGTCAATGTTCCTCTTCTGCAGCTGGTTGAACAGCATGTCCACATGTGGCATGATCTTGTGACACAATGCCAGCAGAAAGCCGAAATCTTCTTCCTCCAGCATTCTCACAAAGCCTCCTGCCTCTCTCTCAGTGACTGGATCAAAGTCATCCGAGTCTCTGATCATCTGGAAAAATCTGAGGAGGTCATCCTTGTGCTCATACACTGTGTTGACATCTCTCTCTTGGACAAAATGTGCCGGTTCTGATCCACTTCTTCATTGTGTTTATTCACTGCAAGCCTGCGTCCCTCGTCTCTAGCTGCATGGCAATGTTAGCTCTACCTAGCATAGCTAGCTTCACCGTGTTGTCCATGTGCGCCCGGGATAACTCATGTTTCTTCACCTTCTCAGAAAAATGTTTCATGTCCGTAACTCCTGACTCAATCCATGCCTCATCTCTCACAGTTGTTTGGAAAGCAAAATAACGCATTAGCGTGATTGCATCCACCTAGCCAAGCCTTCCCAGAAGCCTCGTGTGTACAGTTTACCTCTCTCCTCCTCCTGCTGGCTTATCTTTACGTCGGGCTGATCTGGTCCAAGCTCTTTGACATTACGTTTTTCCACCATAGTGCTCCTCTCGAACGGATACTGGAGAAGAGACCGAACTGAATTCAGTGGCTGCTGAGATCCGGTATCCATGCTGCGGCTGGTTGTAGGCGCACTGGCGTCCATGTCTATTACGTCTGCGTCACGACCGTCACGAGTCATGACCAAAAACGTGCTGGAGTCGAGAATCTCCGAGTTCTACCGAGCACTAACGAAAGCCTTTGGCGGTAGCTCTATCGCCCATCATGCTTCTGAAACAACGTCGACGCTGATTGGATACATTCCCATTCCTACCCTTTGATTTTCTTGTCAGCAATTGGACGACTGGTCTCGTCCCGTTTGGGCGATTCAAAAACAGCCTACAGCCTCCACCGCTCGGCAGAGCTCGGCAGAGACCAATATAGAAATATATATATATATGATTTATTTTTGTTACAAAACACACAATTTACTTAGAATATGTGATTATTGTTAATTTCATTTATTTATTTTTTAAAATAAAAATTAAAAACACTGGGGAAACTGGGAGGGCGGCGCCCTATCGCCCTCTACTGGCCAGCCGCCACTGTCCAGCGGTCAGTGGGCAATCAGGCGGGGTAAACTCTGGACAGAGAGCCAGTCCATCGCAGAGCAACACAAAGACGCCCAGGACAAACAATCACACCTAAGGACAATTTGGACAGACCAATCAACCTAACAGTCATGTTTTTGGACTGTGGGAGGAAGCCGGGGTACCCGGAGAGAACCCACGCATGCACAGGGAGAACATGCAAACTCCATGCAGAAAGATCCCAGGACCTTCTTGCTTCAAGGCAACAGCTCTAACCACTGCACCACTGCACAGCCCTAATGAGAGAGATAGTATCTCATTATTATGAGCTAGCTAAGTAACAATTATGAGATACAAATTTTCTGTCAAACCGGCAGGAATGGGCTTCCATAGAAGGATATTGACTTTGTGTGCAAAAGTTTCAGGACTTAATCCAGGCGGAAAAATATATCTTTTGGAATTATCTTTAAATCTTCAGAACATGAGAAACTCTAAAACACACTGGGCATGTGTAGCAGAGTATGTTTGACGTGTTCGTGAGGATGTTGGGTTAAATGTTATCTATGACTGATCAATTTTTTACAAAAATTAAAAATTAAGAGTTGAAATGTTCAGAAAATTTCTAAGTGTGACGGGTGCTGGTGGAGTAATGGGATACTTCAAAATTCACCAGTGGAGCAGCAACTGCTTCAGATCCTGCTTGTGGCTGGTACCTGGATCATTACAACTAAAGGGGTCGGGGTACTTACTGATGTTTCTCCCTAGAAATAACAACAACCATCTGTTACTGAAACAGATGTGGGGGCGAGGCTCTGCATCAGAACACTTCAGAATCACTTTTTTCATTGAGCTGGAAATTCAAAGTTTGAATAAAAAGCCAGAAAACTGATTTAAATAATTTATGATTTGGAGCAAAGATTGTACCAACAGACTGGGAACTCCCAGGAGCTAGGAGGGGGGTTGTGTCTTGGAAATGTATCTGTTAAAACAGGGACTTCATCAATAACTGATGGATAAGAAAAGATTGGCAGGGTGGTTATTGGATGAGACATAAAAAGTAATGAGAATTTTTTTTTTGCTACAGTTTAAAACAAAGTAAACCAAACCTGTTTACAGATTCCAAACAAAATAAAAATCATACGAGAGCTGTTTATTGGATTTATTAATTTGATCCAGACACTCAAAAATGATCAGCCCATCACTAGTAATGCTGTTTACACCATTAGAATTCATTGAGCTGAGAGAGAGAGAGAGAGAGAGAGAGAGAGAGAGAGAGAGAGAGAGAGAGAGAGAGAGAGAGAGAGAGAGAGAGAGAGAGAGAGAGAGAGAGAGAGAGAGAGAGAGAGAGAGAGAGAGAGAGAGAGAGAGAGAGAGAGAGAGAGAGAGAGAGAGAGAGAGAGAGAGAGAGAGAGAGAGAGAGAGAGAGAGAGAGAGAGAGAGAGAGAGAGAGAGAGAGAGAGAGAGAGAGACTGGGTTAATGATGCTAACTACCCATTTAGGTTAGCAGACCCAATACAGTCCATCACATATAAAATCTGAGGGCAGTAATTAAAACACGCTCAATACTGTGCAACGCCATAAAAGTTCCTTTCAAACACGACCGTGGACCTTTTCTCTGAAAAAACATAAAACAGAAATTAACTTAAAAAAAATAAGACACCAGAGGGGTTCCGTTAATAACACTACATACATCTAAGACCACCACTGCTTAATATTTGACCCGGTTATGACAGAGAGCAAAAGTACGGAGGCATAGGGCATTCACTAGCTGCTTTTCTGAAGGAATTGTGTCAACTCTTCCCATGTGCCCAAAATAATCCGATAAAGGTGTGTGAATGATACGTTACCCATAATGGAACCTTTTTCCTTTACTGTGTCGCTACCAACAATTAGCCTGGTTTCATTGTTGTGGGTTAGCTAATCTCGTTAGTCAGAAAAACAAAGCTTTTTATTTTTTTTAAGTGAATGCAATATGCTTCCAAAGAAAGGATGTGGGAAAAAACACATGCTGAACTGTACAATTGTTCAACATCTCTAGATGTTCCTGGTGAGCCTGCGAGCTGGAGTGGAGGAAGACAATGACGTAGCGTCTTTTAACATTTGCTTCCTGTTGTTATGGGTGGTCGTCCATTTTTTGTGTTTCCGAGTTGCCCAGATCATCCAAACTGCTGGTTGACTACTGGTCTAACCGGAAACTTTAGGTCTTAAAGACAACTCTGACACATTAGAATAATTATTACTGTTGTTCTTTGTTCGTATTCAAGGCTTCGGTAAAAACCGTAACACGGCCACAGCGCAGAGCCTCCAGATGTTTATTTATTTTTTATTATTTTACTCGGATGAACGTGTCAGGAAGAGTTCTCGGTTTGCTCAGCAATCGTTTCCTGGCTTACGACAAACCGATTCAGCAGAAGAGCGTCTGGAGACGGGAACAATTCGGAGCAAAAATGAAATTCCACTCAAGCAATATTGGGTCAATGCTGCCGAGTGACAAATACGACTAACACCAGACCTCCACACGTTTGCCGGGTTCTCGTCTCTCTGAAACGGGGTTAGTCCTTAAACTGAATAAAAGATAAAGATGTGTTGTTGTTTTCAAAGAGTTGTAGTGATACATGCATCCATTATACCGATATACACTTCTTAAAAAAAAAAGTAAAAAAAAAAATAAACCAATAACAAACAAACAAAAAAAAAGTCATTAGAAATGCAGCTATACAGAGTCTTTTCGCTATTCCGGGGAAGTGAAGGTGACGTCCGGAAACCCAAGAGCCGATGTCCAGATGTTGTTCGGTTGAGAAGGGGAGGACAGATGTGAGTGAGGAGGATGAGGAAGTTAGTTACTGCAGCAGGGACGGCTGCTGGACGGAGCCGTCTCCGTCAGGTCCACTCCCCGGTTCCGTCCGCTGTTGCTGCCGACGGCTTGAGGCTCGTTCTTAGGAAGCTTCTTTGCTGCAGCGACAAAGAAACAAGATCAGCTGAAAAATCAACATTCGGGAGTTTCCATCTATAATTAGCACACATCCTGTAGCCCACGGTTCTGATCCGCTTAAGTCATTTACTTCATCACTAATCAGCCATATGAAATAATTACCCTTAATTTAAAAATAAAGAGTCTGGATGTTTATCACTTATTCTTTACATCTGAAACGTGTGAGAAATCAGAGGAAACAAGAAAACAGCCTTTAAACTGACCTCCAAGTCTGATTAAAGGAGGGTAAAAATGACAAGAACAAAGGAAGAAAAATAATTAAACTAAACACTTCTTTTAAACTCAAACCATAATTATTACATTACAAACGTACAAAACATCACGTCTCTGATGATCCATAATCCAGCTGCTGCTCTCATGTTTGCTTCACTTTTAAACTTTCATCAGATTAAGAGAAAATCAAGTATTTCTGGAGAACAGGATTAAAATCTAAAGGCTACGGTGCGCTTAGAGCTCCCTCTAGTGGACAAACTGTTTGTCATCTGAGCCTTGAAGATCCTTTGACCTAATCACTTTCCCAATTTGCTTTTTTAAATAGATTTACTACCTTATTTTACTCCAAGCAAAGAAACCTCATATTTAGACAATAATTATTAGCATTTGAACAATTACCAAAACAAAAATTACACAATTATTAAATTTTCTGAAAAGGTTCTATTTTTTATTAGGTAGTAAAACTGTGATTTTCATCGTTCCTGTACATTATTTGGCATATTTTTTTATTTTGATCCAATCAAACATGAGAAACTTCCAGGCTTCATGCCATAATAAATTATAACACAGACTTGGGAATTCTTGCTCTGATACAAATAAAGACAGGACGTGTATGGAAGAAATACAGTCTCACCAAATATATGAATTTTATTTTATGAAATTATGTATTAGATTTTTTTTTTTATTTAAAAACACACACCAAAATTTTCATCAGTGAAAATTCAAGAACAGATGAGGTGACTTCCTGGTGACCCATGCCAAAGCAATCATCACTCGATCAGAGAAGCGTAATTTCATTGGCTAAAAGCCACTCGACTCGATTTCACATCTGGGTTGGTACGGTCAGGTTCGAGACCGGAATTGTGTTTCACACCAGGAGCAGATATGTGTATTCCATTCTGAGGTGACTTCTTTTCAGACCTCTTCCTCGGAGGTCCGACTGGGACCGAGATGACACTGAGGACTGATTGGCCAGCTGAAATTCATGCCAACCGCTTCCTATTGGCGAGTACAATCAGCCAGGAGGGGGTTCCCACAAATGCACGATTCCTTTTTCATCCAGGATACTGTTGAGTAAACATCTCTGTCTGTGGCGCGGAGCTCCTGCCCAGTGGAAGGGAAAACAGAGCCGTGTGTGTGTTCTCTGGAGCAGCGAGAACATCTCTGCTTGGAGCTCTCACCATAGCTGCTCACTGGGAGGAGATAGCAGCGAGCGTGTGTGTGGCCAACAGAGGGGGAGGTCAAAGTGTTATGAGGACACACAAATCTGTATCAATGACTGAAAAAGGAGCTAATTAATAAAATAATGTGGCTCAAACAACACAGCTCACGCCCGCCTTTGTGTATCTTATTAAGGAGGACACCACAGACTTTCCTGCACCTCCTAAATGCCGCCCACGTGCGCGGGGATTTCCGCATTCCTGAGAAAAAAAAACTGTCCATACGAGACCGAACTGATGCGATACTCCCTCAGGTGTACTGACCCAGATGTGCAAGCAGCTCAGGAGGTCACCTCAGATGTAGAATTTTTGCTGATGAAATTCTGATGTTGAATTTTTGAAGATGAAGAAAAGGGCCGAAACTTACCAATGGCCATGAAAATCTCGTTCACGTTCATAGAGGTCTTTGCTGAAGTTTCCATAAAGAGCAAACTGTTGTCGTCGGCATATGACTGTGCATCCTAAACAAACAAAACACGTGGATCAGAATTCTGACATCCCCTCGCCCGTAGGTGTTGGGAACATTTTAAAAAGACCAACCTGAAAGTCCAGAGCTCTCTTGTTTGCGAGGTCGGCCTTGTTCCCAGCCAGCGCTATTACGATGTTTGGGCTGGCTTGTCTCTGAAGCTCTTTAACCCAATTCTTTGCCCGCACAAATGATTCCTGACAAACAGAAGACAGGAAAAAGGGTTCCCATGATAAGTGCAAGCAACCAAACAAACAGAAAAGTCCAAATGATGGAAACACAGAAGAAAGGAAGGAAAACCACTGAAGTGACATAAACGTGATTAAAAAATACCCACAAGAACAATAAAAAGCTGCCTTTGGATCAGTGTAACAAACACGATAATAAAATGCATATGTTTCTAGATTTGTTTTGGGCCTTAGACTTCTTATAACAATGACTCCAAGCAGAAGCCCTAACCCATGACGAATGCGTCAGTTTGAATATTTTTGGAGTTTGAAAAAATATAAATCTAACCATGAACTTTAAAATATCTTTGTTGTACCTGTGAGTCTTAAATATACCAAGACCATCATTTAGTGCACGTTCTTCACATGTGTGCACAGAGAACACACATACTCCATGCAAAAATGCCAAAGTTACAGTTGGGGGGGCTTGAACCTACACACTTTTTGCTTTGACCAAACTGTTCCAACATGCGGCCCATTTTTTATTAGTTAAAAAAATCTAGTTCACTCACTGCAATCTTTTTTTGGCACATTTCCATTAGTACCTACCTACTCAACTTAATTCAGTAACATATTTCAATCAGTAACAGGTACCGGGTCGCCAGTCCTTTTCAGTACATGCTTCAAAGTGGTTCCAAGTAGGGCTGAACGATTAATTGCATATGCAATTACATAGCGATGTGACAAAAGGAGATTTTCTAATTGCAAAGGCTGCAATTGGGACTGGCAGCGAGTGATTAGCACAATGCTAATATACATGGAAAAACCCATAGGGATGCTAATGCTAATATTGCAGACTACATTCTTACAAATTACGAATTAGGAACGTGCCAAAAGATTGCATTTGGAGTCTAAAAAAATTAAAACTTCCATTAATCAAATAAGTACAGACAGATATTCTAGTAAAGCTAGAAAAGCGTAAGAGACTTTAACTCCACTGAATTTTGGCTAGCAGCTCTGGATGTAACTGAACTATGGAAGCTCTGCATGGAAAAGATGTCAAAAACCAAACGCAAAAGACTTCAATAAATGGAACACACTTCTTTCCTGCAAATACATGTTCACAGTTGATGCTAATACCTATGCTCCTTCAAGGGATGTGCTCCTGGCTGCAAAGCATCGCACCTTCAAATACAAAATTGTGTCTTTACTCGTGAGTGTTTATGTATATGTAGCCAAATAAACTTGTTGATATGATATATGGATAAATATGTAGATACATAAACATGTTTATATTCAGTACAAGATACATAGAAAAGCCCCTTGAGAAAAGAATCGTGAATTAAATTGCAATTGCAATACTGAAAAAAAAAACGCATTTAGATTACTTTCCAGAATTGTTCATCATTAGTTCCAAGCTGTGGTTCCAATGACCCAAGGCTCCTGGGTTATTGTGAGCCCCAGCAAGTTTTCATCAAGAGTTTCCTGTTGTGTAAAAAGTTGTTCTAGGACCCCTTTAATGTGTTTCAAAAACCAAACATGAAGATAACATCAGGTTGTTGGTTGGTCATGTTATAATTATATGTTCTCAAATTTAAATCAAATTACTAAAGGGAACAAGATTTCTTTTGAGTTCAGTCTCAATTTCAAAATCTAGTAGCTTCCAAAAGACATGCAACCACTTCTGGTTTTACAGGGAATTCTCTCAATTACGTGTAAAACTCTCCATCTTCTGGTGGTTTTAGAGAGCCATCAGACTGTATGAGGCTAAAACCTGATTTATACTTCTCCCTCTGCGTCGGTACAGAGACACGCAACACCATTATGCGTCAGCACAAGGGCTCTACGACAGGCTCACGGGGGAGACGGAGACATGAGCCCCGTTATGGCTGCTCTCGTGATCCGCCTGTATCTGTTCTGTCTACATGTGTGTGTGTAACCTTGGTCAGGCTGTGCTGCAGAGTCAAGTTCCTATGCTCTGGTTCGCTGGAGCGCTGGCAATAAAGCTTTCTGATTCTGATGCCCAAACTTTTAACTATTCGTCAAAAGTGACCGCAAGCTTGTGATTGGTAAGGGCGTTAACGTTGCCCCGTTAAAGTCAAAACATATTTAGCAGCAGACACTGAACAAATTGAAGAGCGTCTTGTAGAAAAAGTCCTAAAATATTCATGTTAATTCACCCTTGACTGAAGAAGTTCAAAGACACACAGCAAGTGTTTTATTCATGGACGGGAATGATGGGAAATGTGGGTTTAGAGGTGCCAATTGCATGAAGAGGTGGAGGAGAATGAGGAACAAATGTGTCAGTGTTAAAAAATCTCTGAAACACATTAAAACAATGTAAACACATCAGAAAGTACACTATCGTGGACCGGATATGTGACTAATGGTGGCAGGATACCCCAGAATTCTGCTCCGCCCTCTGCTGTCTGGGCGGGGAGTTGCTTTGCAATACTCCCCAGGTGATGGAGAAGTCTGAGAGCAAAATGTCTGTCAATGCGTGTGCGTCTCTCCCCCACGGAGCTGACAGAGAAGTAGACGGCATGTTTGGTCAACTGAATTCTGATGCTGAACAGTCTTCTACATGTGACTCATTTCAGTCGCACACGCTGCCCAACCACCTGAATCGTTTTGCTGTTGAAACTCCATCCAGATTAAGCACAAATCATGGACAAAAGCTGTTAAAAAGTACCGTAAATCCTCTAATACAGGCCTGCATTCAATTAACGGCCGGGTCTCATATTTTGGCCGGTGTCGGGAGTCGGCGGAGGTGAATAATGGCCGGTTTCTTATTGTGGCTGGGTGGAATGTGGTAACAAGCAAATACCACGGGGGGGGGGGGGGGGGGGGGGGGGGGGGGGTTGTGTCATCCATCTCACTTTTGATTTGCCAGTGACAGACCGCGATTTGGCAGGTGTGGAGACGAAGAGGCGGCGAAAATTTGATATCAAGATCAAAGAGAACGTGCGCTGCAGAACACTGGGGAGCAATAGGGGTTGTATGAACTAGTCGACTTCACTATAGTGACTTTTTATGCCTGTCGCCGACTAGTCGCTGTCACGTGATAATGACCGGCAAGATGCAGTCCTCAGAAAAGACAGCAGCCTGCTGTCAGCAGGTGACAAGCTCCTGTGCTCGGGGGGGGCAACGTGCTGTGCCAGAGCGTCGGTACTGACACGCGATCGTTCATGTCGGCTCATTTCCTTTAATGTTTTCTGTCTTTTATTTGCGCCTGATGTGTTTCGCTGCTGTGGAGCGGGGCGCATCACCTTGTCCTCCGGTGACGCACCGATCACTGATGCGGCCACCAAGCAGCGAGCACTCCGCTGTTTTTGCGGTCGGCAGATCTTTTAGAACTGCAGTTCAAAGGTAACTCATAAGGTGAATATATATGAACCCAGGTAGCAGTTTTTCTTTAGGATTGAGAGGAGATGCAGGAAGATAATAAACAGGCAGGACAGAAAAATAGTCAAATAAAAACAAGTTAGATTTTGTACCTGCTGGTTGCAACAAACAGACACCATTGAATGCAGGGCCGTGCAGAGACCTTTGACGGGGCGGGTGCTCAAAGTAAAAAAAGGGGCACTTATAGAGCAATCCAGAAGTTAGAAAATTCAGATAATGAGACCCTTGGGTTCAAACAACATAATAAAAATACATAAATTAGTGTCATTAGTGTTAATGTTAGTTCATAAATAATAGTTTTAGTTTTTAAAGCTGACTTATATCTAGAGATGTTACAACCACATTTTTGCCCCTGATCCGAGTCCAAGTTGTTTGATTTTTGATTATCTTCCAATACTGAGTCTTGTTCTGATACCAGGTGGTGATGCAACACATTATAAAAGAAGAAAGTAGTCGTCCTTCTGTCTGTATTTGTCATTTTGTTATTTTAGCCTGAAAAGGTCACTCATTCAGGAAGTACATTTAACAGGAATCAAGATATGTTATTGCTATTGCACATGTGTACAACCAAAGATATTTTGTGCTTACTAAAGACAGCTCTGGTAAGAGGTAGTAAAATAAATGTAAAATAAATGCAACCACAGAGACTTATCCAGTGTGATCTACGGCTATGTTAGCTGAGATCTTTTTCCTGTCAGTAGAAAATTCTTGATCCCATTCCATGATCTCACTGAACTTAATACTAAACATGAGAGCTCTGCTACCAACCCAACAATAACACCCTTTACACAAAGGCACCATCATCACATACGTGGCAGGAGTCGCAGAGAAACTTAGAAGAATCTTCTCCAAACACAACATCCCGGTAAACTTTAACCCAACAACACCCTCAGACAGAACCTGGTCCATCCAGAAGACAAAACACCCAAACAGAAGCTCAGTGGCGTCGTTTATGCAGTCCAGTGTAGGAGCACTGTCCAGATGTTTACATTAGAGAAACTAAACAACAATTACACAAGAACATAACACAACACAGGAGAGCCATCTCTTCAGGTCAAAACTCTGCAGTCCACCTTCACCTGAAGGACAAGGGACACACCTTGGAAGATGACAAAGTCCACATTCTGGACAGAGAAGATAGATGATTTGAGAGAGGAGTAAAAGAAGCTATCTATGTCAAAACGTGAAAACCCCACTTTAAATAGGGGCGGGGCTTAGATTTCACCTTTCCAGCACCAATAATGCCGCTTTGGTCAAGGTCAATTTTACTTACAGAGCACATTTACAGCAGCAAAGCTACACCAAAGCGCTGTACAAGGTAAAACAAATCAACAATAAAAACCTAAAATAAGATGAGCACACAACAGTCACAATCTATGATAAAAACTGTTAAAAACTATTAAGATGCTCAAGGCAGCCTGCATTAAAAGCCAAATCAAAAAATTGCGTCTTAAGAAGGGATTTAAAATGCTCTAGATTCTGTGTGGTCCTGATGTTGAGAGGTAGCTTGTTCCACAGTTTGGGCCCAACCACAGAGAACGCTCTGTCGCCGCAAGTCTTGTGGCGGGTTTTTGGAACTGTTAAAAGAGCTTGAGAGCTGGACCTCATGGTTCTGGCAAGGATGTAAGCGGACAGCAGCTCAGAGATGTAAACTGGGGCCAGGCCATGAAGGGATTTAAAAACAAAAAGTAAAATTTTGAAACAGATCCTGTAAGAGACAGGAAGCCAATGGAGAGAGGACAGAACCGGGGTTATGTGATCCCACTTGCTGGTTCCAGTCAGCAAGTGAGCCGCTGCATTTTGGACCAGCTGAAGTCGGTGTGGGGAGGACTGGTCCAGGCCAGAATACAGGGAGTTGCAGTAGTCCAATCGGCAAGACACGAACAGGTGGATGACATGTTCGAGGACATTAGCAGGAAGGTATGGCTTCACCTTTGATATCCGCCTTAAATGATAAAAACCTGAATGGACCACTGCACTCACCTGTCTGTAAAGATTAAAAGAACCATCTAAAAACACACCAAGGTTTTTAACACAGGGTTTTAGAAAACCAGAACAAGGACCAAGAGGACCAACAACGTTGTTTAAAAGATTAGAACTTTTTTTTGAATGTCATTCAGTTTCAGTCTAGGTCACACCTTCCTGCATCTAATCAACACGATGACTCACCATCAATAGAGGCTAACGACTCATCAGGAGATGGAGAGGCGGGGTACTCAGAGTAGTTTCTGCTCATTAAATAACAACAGACAGCTACAGCTTATGAGCTTGACTCTCCCATATTCCAGTTAGAACTGACAAAGCTCCTCAGAGGAGAAGTGAAATGATTTAAAGAAACCAAAGAAGTCCAGTTGCCTTCATCTGAACTCTTTGGAGTAATAGTCAATAATAAAACATACATAATAAAGTAATAAAATGTATATAATTATGCTCACATTCACTTTTACCATCTCTTTGTGGGAGGCGGAAAATTTACCATGTTTAACCCTCTTATGACCATAAATATAACTGTTTTTTTTTTGTTTTGTTTTGTTTTATGGGGTCACACTGTTTTCTGAGTGTTTGCAACACAGTTCTGAGTTTAAATACCGGTAGTTCTTTTGACATAGTTTGCTCAAGTCATTTTGACGTTCCTGTTTAGTAATAAATGTAAAGAAAATTCAAATCTGTTTTTTTTTTCATTTAAGCTGCAGTTTTACAGACTTTAATAAACATAAACACAAATACAAACTAGACACTGAAAGCTGAGGTTGTTCTGAAAAAAGGAGCAGAGTTACAAACATTTTACAATTTTATTACACTTTTAAAGCCTGACCTCATGTTAACCAGTTTAGTGACTGCAGCCTGTCTGTGACCACAGGTCTACGCTCTGGTCCAGAGAACGGGATACAGTAAAATAAATACTAGGCATCATAAAATAACACTCATGGGCTACTTCACAGCTGTAGCTACATTTCTACCAGCATTATGAAGATCAATAAGCAGATAAAAGGTTAAATCTAAACATTTCATTACAAAAAGTCAACTAATAAAATTCTGCACTGATAAAATTATATTTTCAGCTAAATAAATATTTATTGTACGTATAAATAATGCTGGAATGAAGCTGAATCATTTAGTAAACAGTTGAGTGTTCAAATAAAAACCAGTGTGACTTTAATCTGTCCCTCCTCATGTCACCATCTACAGAAACAGCCTTCTGGGACACCTGACCAACCAGGTGGATTTTACTTGTGACGTTTCCATAACTTTATAAAAGCTGCTGATGAAGATGATCAGATCATCTCCTCCTTTCGGTTCTCTGCTCTCCCGTCGCGGTTCGCTAGGTTTCTTTCTGTGACGCTGCAAAGCTGGTTTCCCTCTAATAGCGATTTTTGGAGTAACATTAATTACATCATGTAATACCTCGTTGGAAAGCTCGTTTTATGTACTGTTAGAAACCGTTTGAAGTATTTTTATTCGATTAGTAATTCAGAAGTTATGACCTGGAGAATCTAGAGTGAGACATTGATTCTTTGAGTTTCTGCAACTCTTCAGGAGAAGTCTCTCTCATGTCTCATTTTCTGTCCCAGACATGCAGCTACCTGACTCTGCTCCACACACACTAACCACGGACTCAAACTCATGTAAACAAAAGCTCTGATATTAAAATCTATCCAGCTGATGTGAAGCAGGCAGAAAAAACTTACAGGTAGATGAACGCAGACTCCTGTCCGCAGGGAAAACACCGGTCTGTCGTCTCCATGGCAACAAGGTAGAGCGACAGCAAGGACAACCAATCATACGTTAGTATGATGCGGCAGAGCCAACCAGTGAGCTTGTAGGTGGGTCTAAGGGAAAATAGCCTTCAGCTTGAGGCGGCTGCCTCTGCATGGTCCTAGTGCCCGATTTGTATCACAGTATAACAGTTTTGTACAGTAAAATCTGACGAACGACCGGAAAAAGGGCACTCTGGGCACTTCGGACAAAAGGGGCAGGGTCTCAAGCACCCTCCGCACCCCCCTCTGCACGTGCCTGATTGAAGGTAATCAGAAGTGAGGAACAGAAAATGAAATAATTATTTTAATGTTTAGAGCAGCAGGAACTCCGAGAGGCTGCAGGCGCATCAGTGAGTTGCGGTCGCTGTGCAGGGGGAGGGGGGAGAGGGCTGAAGCAGAAACTACCGTTGTTAAAAGAAATGTGTTTAACTTTGAAAATGTGATCGCAATTTTAATTGTCAAAAACTCCAGCGAACCATTAGTTCATTTTGCTCAAATAGAAATAGAGGCCTGCCTCTAATTCTGGTCTTCCTTCCAATAAAGGCCTGGAGCTTGATGAGCTTGAGTCAAATACAGGCCCGGGCCTGTATTAGAGGATTTACGGTATACTTTCCTGTTGTTAGTTTTAACATAAATGAGAGTCCAGCTTTGGTCATTTTTTAAAATATTGGGTCACTTCAGGAAGGCTGAAGGTCCACACGTGGCTCTGAAGCTGCAGGTTTCAGACTGGTGGCGAGACTGGTGTGAGACAGTAACTCAAACAGGCAGCTGGTTTTCACGAGCCTCTCGTCAGATTTCAAAGCAAACCCATCTGACTGAGGCCTGATGATTCTCTCACTAGAGCACTATTTTTATGCATCAGCACTGAAAAGGTGCTTTTAATACACAATTCATAGCAATGATGCAAACAAAAGGGGGAGTGAAATCAAACCAGTTTGTCTTATAAATTGCTGCTTTTAGAGCTTAAAAGTGTCACGAAAAAATATAACAAAGAGAAAAAGAAAGTCTTTAAGCTTCCACAGATCTAACCGTTTCTAAATCAATGAGCTGAGTGGACAGGTTTACGCCGAGTCATGACTCATCTCTCAGTGTGTCATGACATAAAAATAAACCCGCTTTTTAAGCCTGACTGCTACTAAAAATGTAACATGAAAACCCCCCTCCACCTTCTCGTTTCCTCCTGTGTCACAACACTGTTTGGAGGTCATAAAGAGGCTCGGCTCACCTCGTTTGTGATATCGTAGACCACGATGGCTGCCTGGGCCCCTCTGTAGTACATGGGAGCCAGACTGTGGTAGCGCTCCTGACCGGCTGTATCCCAGATCTCAAACTTGACTGTTGTGTCGTCCAAACATACCGTCTGAGTCAGGAAGGCCGCTGCAGAGATGAGTGAGCAACAACAAAAAAAAAATGTTTTTGTAAAAATAAACTTCACAGAGCAAACTGAGCTGGTGCTGGAGCGACATGAGTAAAAAAAAATTATTATTATTTTTAAACAAAGAAACACAAAAACAAATAAAAATAAAATAAGGAAAGTAGTAAGTGACTGATCAAGAAATGAAAAAAATAAATTGTTTCAAATTTTTCAACAAATGCAAAAAATAAATAACATTTTAATTCATAAAAAGTTTTTTATGTTTTTGAGAAAATATCAAATCAAAATAATAAAAATGAAATAAACAAATAAAAATTAGAATCTGACAACAATCCAACAGATGAAATCTGTACCAATCACATCATTTCCAGGAAGACGTCATTTGTTCCTCATGGGTGAGAACATTTACACAACATGCGTAAACTATGAGTGGACATCCTGGTACTTCTCCTGAACCTCTTTGTCTCCATAATTCATAAACGCATCATCACTAAACCCAGTTCTGTTTCTTTTGGTGAACCTCTGCTCTTCAGAAGCACTAGCTGCTCTTCTGACAGCCATTTGTTTTTCTATCTTGTTTCACTCCATAATTTAAAAGCTGCGTCTCTGAAACTCCACGGATGATGTTACAGCGTGGGGAAAACAGTGCTGCACGTGTGTTTTGTGTGATTACAGGTTACAAGTTGGATATAAATACAAGTGTCTTCTTATTTATATAAAAATTGCATATTATCACTTAATCCACTTCCACTAAAACTTTTATAAACTTTTTTTAAAGGTTTTAGTACAAAACCTGCATGCTAAAATAGTCATTAAATTATATAACTTGTTGAGCAGAGAGAACATTTTAAATATGCAAATCTCAGATATAGTAACCATAAATGGTCTCAGTCAGTTTATCACTTTATAACCAAAGGCACTGTCTGTATCTAGTTCAAAAGCTGCTTTTATAAAAGCTTTTCTTTACTTAACTGCAGCATTTTCTCCTCCTGAGGTTCTGCGTCCTTTTAGAAGGGCATCAGATTCTTGCACTTCAATATTTTATGCTCTTCAACTAAGATGTGTTTTTCTCTTTTGGAGACATTTGATCAAATGTATTCACATGGGAAAAATTATCGCGATAAGAGTCAGAAATTTCAGTAACGATAAAGTTTTGATTTATTGGCCAGCTCCAATTTAGAACTTCTAAAATGTCTTCATGTTTATGAGGTCCAACTATTTCCATGATGCACAAAAGTCTGTGATTAGTTGGAAAACGGATGAACCTTTTTAAACACTTTTCATTTGAATAATTGTGCTTAAAATGCGCATGAAGCAATAATGACATCCTGTGGTCAAATTTGGGTATTGCATTCCACATTTCTAAATAAACCAGTGACTCTCCCTCTCCCGTTTGTGAGTTTCACATAGGGCTGCTCAATTAATCGAATTTTAATCACGATTACGATCTGAGTTTTGAACGATTATAAAAAACTAAACAAGCCGATTATTTGCTCCTCCCACTTGCGCTGCCCTGAGTTGCAAATGAAGCGCTCCTCCCACAGTGTTGCCAACTTAGCGACTTTGACGCTATTTCCAACAGCTTTTCAGACCCCCTTCTTGACTTTTTAAATCCTAAAAGTACCTAGCGAACATCTCAGAAACATCTCTGGTAACCCTTAGCTACTTTCTGGATAACTGTCGTCGACGTTTCCTGCAGGTTAGCTAAACACTCCGCCTGCTCTCCGGACCGTTCTTCAGGACATTAGGAAAGGGAATGATGTAGTGATGAGTCGGTCGCTAAAGAAACAGTTATATGGCTCACTGTTGGATTAACCAGAGTGAGTGACACACACACCGTACCTGCGGACTCCTGAGCCGCTAAAAACGGCTAAATGTGCGCGTGCAGCACGCTAAACACACGTGAAGCTTGCCACTGATTGCTGTGAGACTGGGTTGGGGGGTGGGGGGTGCAGCTGTGGTTGGGACAATTATTACATTAACTGATGGACGACTTGTAAATAAATAGTTTATAAATAAGGTAGAAATAAGTTCCTCACGCTGATAACTAATAACTAATCTCTCTGAGGACACGGTGCTAGTGCACTCTCCTACAGCACCTTGACATGACTCAATAAATGTTATGCAACATTTTGTGAACATCAATTTATTAGCATGTATTTGTTATAAATGCCACTGTATAATTCTTACTGTCAGTATTTGCAAGATATTGGTATTTGGGTCTGTACTGGTTAGACTTACATGAGTTAAACCAAGGTCTATTGCCCTTGGGTCATAGACTATGAGCTATAAGTATATTGGTCTTTTTATACTGGGAATCATGAGTTATTTTAGTGATCATCTTGTTTCTTATTTATTTTTGTCCTGATTGTGCCCTGAGCTATTTTATGACTGAATAAAAACAAATAAAATCAGAATAAATAGAAAAATCGTCCTAAATAATCGTGATCTCAATTTCAGTCACCATAATCATGATTATTATTTTGGCCATAATCGAGCAGCCCTAGTTTCACAGCTGTTGCCATTTACGGATCGGTGCCAGATGACTCTAGATGATGTAAAGACGAGTCAAAGTTTGTTGATGAGCAGATATACATATTTTACTGAAATATTGAGTTGTTGGTGATTGAGATAGTAGCTTGAGATACTTTTATAGACAACCATTTCCAATTCCCTGTTAGCATTGTTAGCTAAATGTTAGCATCTAGTCTTCTTTACCCAATATTAGAGTAAAACAAAAAGATGCCATGTCTTCTTGGGGACACAAATAACTTCTGGGTCGGTCCTGTTACTGACTCAGGTTCATTACAAAAGGCTGCTGTGCTTGGATGGCTGATGTCGAATTATAAATGCAGGCACAGAAGTGTTTGCAGGCCCAGACTTGGCAACCCCGCGAGCTCACAGATTGTAAACAAAGACTACGTCCCTCTTCAGCTTTTTGACAGGAGAAAAACTGCCAACCGCCAGAAAAGACATGTTTCAATATAACCTCTCTTCCAACAAGATAGAGACTTAAGACTATTTCCTGAAATAAAATTTTCACTGTAAAATTATTATTTATTTTGTACCTTTAAACTCTGTTTTTAGAGAGACTAGTTGGACACATGTTTAAGGGTAACAAATTTTATATATTTTAGTTGGATAAACTAATAAAGTTAACTAAACTAAAGGCCATTGCACACATAAACATAGATACAAGCCACAACAGTACAGTGTTGAGATTCTGCATTTTTTTTCAACCCTTCTGGGCCACCGTACAACAGAAACAAACATACAAACCTCCGATTGTGCTCTCCTGGAATTCATGAAACTGGCCCTTGACAAAACGGAGTACGAGGCTTGATTTTCCCACTGCTGACTCTCCTAAAAGCACAAGCTTGAATTGGCAAATCTTGTTGCCCGCATTAGGCCCGTTGGGGCGCGTGGCTCCACCTCTACTAGCCATGTCACCGTGTGGTCTCTCCTCCTCAGAATGCCGACAGTCGCAGTGGCGAAAACTGTGAGATACCTTAAAATGAGACAAATGTTGATATTATTTAAAAGAGTCTTTTTTTCTTATTAAATAAAAATAGTCTACAAGTTTGATGCCATAATTAGAAAGCCTGTAGTTAGGAATTGAGATTACAACCAGCAGAGGTCATTGACAAATTCCCTGACTTGTTGGCTGCTTCATGACCTAAATCAGTTTCCAGAATTAATGAAAAATAAGCACAAAAAAAAAATTAAGTCTCCTTTAAGTACGTGTAGTGTCATTAGCACATCAACACCTTTGTTTATTAGCTCAAAAACTTTCCCAGGATGCAGCATTTTTTTGGACGAGTAAACATAGAGCATTTGATATTCATAAATAAAACTAATAGCAGGTTTAGCAAAAACAAATAATAATCATCTCAGATTTCTATTAGGGCCGTTATGACATCACATAAATAAAGTCTGGACGTTAGCTGAGGTTTGAGGCTGGTAGACTACATCTAGAGTTGTAACGTTGTCTGACAGAGAGGCTGGCTGGTGCAGAGACAGATTGTGGCACAAGTTTAGGCGGCGGGCAAGAAAAACGTCTTCAGGTTAGGTTACAACTGTACAACAGTATTATTCAGCACATTGAGAGTTGATAAAACAGCCATGCTTGCTGTTTTAGGTATATGCAAATCTAGATGGTCATAAACGTACTTATTCTGAACAAAAACAGAATTGATTATTATATTCGGGCAAACTAATCTCCTAAAATGGTCATGAAAGCATCAATAACACTTCTAAGTGTCAGACATTTGCTTGGTGTGATGTGTGACTGCACCTTTAAAGATGATGACCATATTAACTCAAACATCAAAACAACACTGAGTCAACTGAGACTCTTTGGTAAAGTTGAGGCCGACATTCAGTTGGTGCATTCAACACAGCAGTTTATCCAGTCCGAATCACCATTTATGTGCCTAAAAGTAGATTAAAACACAGCAGCCTTTTGTCTGACAGCTGATACATAATGTGATCACATTACATGTGTCCTGGCCTTACACTGGCTCTCTGTGAGTTTTAGGATCCAGGTTTCTAATCGTCATAACAGTCACTTGTCACAGTCAACAACAACAGCAACTGGTGTTAAACACTCGTCGATCAAAGCTCAAAAACTGATGATATCATCAATCAGGTGTGGTGTGGAAATGCCTCCTTTTGCTAATAAAGGCATCATTTTATATCACAGCTTAAAACCCACCTTTTATCACGTATAGCTGTTTAGATATAACTTTATTACGTTCTATAATACTATAGTTGTCAGTGTTTTACTTTATAGGTCAAACCCTTGTTTTAGCTCTTCTGTAGAAATAAGTTGTGATTTGACAACAGATTAGCCCTGCCACAGGTAGCAGCTCATCTTTCTTCCCACCAAGTCAACACAAACGCTTATTCTAAATATAATTACCATCAACTTCGTAGAAATGGCGTTACGACACATGGATAGTCACAAAGTTATATATTGTTTTAGCTCCAGTTAGCAGAGCAAAAACAGCTAGCATTAGCAACATGGACAGCTGCTGAGTAGAAATAGTCAAACCCAAAACAAACTCGTTGTGACAGTTAGTTCAGTCAGCGTGACTTTAGTTTAAACACGAGTAACTGTATGTGTAACAAACGTGTCAACTCCAGATCTAACACTTATGTAACGTTTGAGAATGTCGGGTGAAGCAGGTTTGGGTGTGTTCAGCTAATGAGCTACCCACATAAGGCTAAAGTAGTTCACAACATCGTCCACCAGCAGCCTCAACAGGGCTGTCGGTTATAACTAAAGTCTATTTCTGCGTAATAAACATGACAATACTAGTTTATCGGGATTTATCACCTGTTCCACGTTAACAGACACTGCTAGCAAGCACGGCCCTTTAAGTGTTGGTTAGCTGAGGGAATGTTGTTTAGCCGCGGCCGCGTCGGGAGGAGCCCTGTTAGCATTTAGCTTCTCATACCAGACACTCACCCAGCAACAGAAGATAATGAGTTTGGTGTTTCCGGGACAAAACCTGTAACCCTTCGGAGTCTATTCACAAAGTATTCAGTCAGGTAGAAAAACGTTAGGTCTCATTAGGCTCTGCGGTCTTCCTCTCCCACTTATTTTAACTTCCCTTTTGTACGAACGAAGGCTGATGATGACAGTCCGGTAGAGCAAGCCGCTGTTACATATAATCAAACAACACTTGTTTGGATATTTTCGCGCATGACATTTTCTTTAATCAGAATTTAGTTGTCAAATAATAACATTTCTCTTTAACTAAAACGTCAAGGTCTCCAGTACTATGAAAATTATTTTAATTAATGAAAACAAGTTAGTTTTAGACATAAAAATGCTGATCAACTGTATGAATGAGCATCTAATATTATTGTAGACGTGTGTGGTATTTACTTTGACCTTTTAGTGCATTTTATTTAAAATGTAATATTCAGCCTAAAATCATCAGTGTGGCGCCCTCTTCAGCTTGAAACTCTGCAACACATTTGAGTTAGAATCAGCCATATTGTTGGCTAAGCGGTACCCTATGATGTTACTGGTACCATGTGATGTAGCTGAAGTTGTGGCCGAGTCTGCACCACTGCTCCAACAATCCGATAAGAAAAAAAATTAAAAAGCTTTCCTCCTCCCTATTTCTTATTGAAGGAGGGGGTGAGAACTCCTCCAGGCTATGAAGTGTGCTGCTCTTTAGCAGTCTGTCTGATTCTCTGACTGAGCAGTGTGTGTATGTGTTGTTCATCCAACAAAACACTCTGCATCTCATACAGTGTAAGTTGTTGGTAGTAATGTTTTCATTTTACCTTATTTCTCCTAATACATAAAGTCTTTTGATATTTATATTTACCTACATAATTTTATTAAAATCAAAATTGATTGCAGAAGGACGTTAAAGAAAAATCTATTCAAAATATTGTATACAATATTCAAAATTATGTAGAAAATGTTTAGGAGATGTTTCTTTCAGAAATCAAAAAGGGTAGCTAATAACATTTAGAAATTGGATATACTGGAAATGCAAATTGATCCTAAGAAGAACTGCATTCATAAAATTTTTCATAGCATGAATAATTTAAAAAACTACATATTTGTGACAGTGTGATGTAGCTCTTCCAGGTTTTTCAAATCCTACTTTCACAATCTATTTTCTGTCAAAGCAAATTCGGAAATAGGGTTAGAAAACTATTTGCATGTTAAACCTGCATGAAAAAACTCAGTTATTGATTATAACCAGAAATAATCATTGAATTTTATTTTATTGATCCACACCTTTAATGTATTTATGTTGCTTTTGGATAACACAAGCAGTACCCTGTAATAAAACTTTAAAATTCTGGTAATAAATGAAAAGGACTTTTCAGTTCCATTTTACGTGTTATGTATTATTTATACACTGTAGTGTAAAGTGTAAAGCGCTCTGGAGTCCTTACTCCGAGAGGCGCCAAACAAGTGCGAGTCATTTATGATTTGTCACAGTTGTATTATATGTCACCCCAGCTTGCCATAATCGTATGACTCGCGCTGACAATCCGCCTTTGACCAATCACAACGCTGAATGATCTATCACAATTTATTTCAATGTTTATTTTACACAATTAAGCAAATTAAAATAGTCTGAAACGCCATCTGATTGAATGAACGTAATAAAAGCTACAGAAATTATATTTCAATAAGCAAAAAAAAAAAAAATTACGTAATTAGGGTCACCGAAAACTGCTCTTGCTAGGCAACAGAACAAAAGCAAACGCTGAAAACATCTTTACCGTTTTTAGAAGTTGGTAGACGGAAGATTATGAGTTTTACAGACGGAAATCCTTCAAACCGGCCGAAATTTGAGGATAAAAGTCTAAAAATGCAGCGAGTAGGTCTAAAGTTTGCTTGTTGTGGGAGTTTGGAGCAATTCAACGCGTAAATGTTTTTATGAGCGTTAAATTTCTTAATTTTTTTGACCACAGGCAGGGAAACTGAAACCTTTGGGAGACCGAGCAGAGTGCTGCTTACAGGAAATGCCATGTGTAAGTCATTATAGTAACTAAACTGTTCAAACCTAAACTAATGGCCAAATATAAACTGAAAGAGATGCACAATTCCATAAGTTTTTCATTTTTCCAGTTTTAATTTATAATAATTCCTGAATCAATGAGTTTATATTAGTTTTTTTTACTGCTTTAATGACATTTTTTTTAATTGTAATTTTTATTTATTTATTTTTGTTCATTACGACTACACGGTGGTGTCGTTTGTAGCAGCAAGAATGTCACAGCTTCAAATCCTGGCTGAGGCAGATTTGACTGAAGCATTCATGTGTTGTCTTTTAACCGTAACTAAACCAGATGTGCTACCGCCGCAACATTTTTTATTTATTATCTCTGTTTAAAATCCTACATTTTTCAGCCTCCAACCCCTCCAGATGTGAAGAAGTACCGTAACAGTATCCTACCAGAACCTGGAGCCATCAGAGTGCATCATGGGAAGGCAAATGATCCAGATGTTGCCAGCACGCTTGTCCATGGCATCAGAACCAAAAGATCAGACACTGTGAGTCCCACGGGCACACACAACCTCTTTAGTCAAATGCATTTTATTTAGAAGTTTGAGATCAACCTAAAAGATGTGTTCAGTGGATTATTATCTTACTTCTGAAAGCGCTTTAATAACAATGAGTTTATCAAGTCATTTGATGAAAAAGTGTTTTTGTTTATTTTCATGTTCAAGCTAATAATCCAGAACACTGACATATTGACAACTCTCTTTTTTCATTTAGAATTTTAAATTCAACAATATAATCCTAATATATATGTGTTATATGGTTTCTGCAGATTGAGAGGTTGTTTCATCCTCCTGAAAATTCGTTTCAACAGAAGTTGGAGGAGCTAAATAAGTCTGCTTCACGTAAGAACGCTCAATTGGGTCGGTCACGTGAGCAACATGGTGGACTTCCCGCCTGGTACGATGAGAAAACTACATTTGGCGTGAAAACAATTAAAGGTACGGGAAACACAAAGAAGAGTGGCTGATTACATTTAAAAATGATGTAAAAAGTAAATATTAAAAACAGCAAAAACACAGTGTTTAAATAAAAAGCCTAAAATGCAACTGCTGTAGTTCACGCCAGTTTCGTACTAAAATGAGTTTATGCTGAGAAATGATGTAGTTATAGTCTGTTTGGTTCAGTCTGCTGTAGGATTTAACCAAGCTGGTTAAAATGAGCAGTTAGCAATCAGATCCCGTGTTGTTAACGACTCTCAGCTGCTACCAAACACACGTTTACCTCACAGAGTTATAGCTGTTTTAGTGTTTGATGAGGGTGATTTGCTGTGATAGAGATGTTCAACTAATGATCCACCCATTAGTTCATGAGATCATTTACTGAAATTATAATATAATGTGAGCGTGAGTTTGTTCCGCATAGCCGGTAGTAAGTTGGACCTGTTCCCGGTGAGGGTTGGACTCCGCCAGGGCTGCCCTTTGTCACCGGTTCTGTTCATTACCTTTATGGACAGAATTTCTAGGCGCAGCCGTGGTGTGGAGTGTGTCGAGTGTGGTGGCAGGAGAATCTCGTCTCTGCTTTTTGCGGATGATGTGGTCCTCCTAGCTTCATTCATCTCTGACCTTCAGCTCTTGCTGGGTAGGTTCGCGGCCGAGTGTGAAGCGGCTAGAATGAGGATCAGCACCTCCAAATCTGAGACCATGGTTCTCGACCGGAAAAGGGTGGCTTGCCAACATCGGGTCGGGGGAGAGGTCCTACCTCAAGTGGAGGAGTTTAAGTATCTCGGGGTCTTGTTCATGAGTGAGGGTAGGAGGGATCGGGAGATCGACAGGCGGATTGGTTCGGCGTCTGCAGTGATGCGGACGCTGAGCCGATCTGTCGTGGTGAAGAGGGAGCTGAGCCAGAAAGCCAGGCTCTCGATTTACCGGTCGATCTACGTCCCAATCCTCACCTATGGTCAAGAGCTTTGGGTAGTGACCGAAAGAACAAGATCACGGATACAAGCGGCCAAAATGAGTTTCCTCCGTAGGGTGGCCGGGCTCAGCCTTAGAGATAGGGTGAGGAGCTCGGACATTCGGGAGGGACTCGGAGTAGAACCGCTGCTCCTCCGGATCAAAAGGAGTCAGCTGAGGTGGTTTGGGCATCTGGTCAGGATGCCTCCTGAACGCCTCCCCGGGGAGGTGTTTCGGGCATGTCCTGCCGGCAGTAGGCCCCCGGGTCAGCCCACGACACGTTGGAGAGGTTACATCTCCAATCTGGTCCAGGAACGCCTTGGGATCCTGCCGGAGAAGCTGGTGGAGAAGGCCAGGGAGAGGACTGTCTGGAGCTCCCTATCTGGGATGCTGCCCTCGCGACCCGGACCCGGACCCGGATAAGTGGAGGAAGACAACGATAATATAATAATATAATATAATATAATATAATATAATATAATATAATATAATATAATATAATATAATATAATATAATATAATATAATATATAATATAATATAGGGCTGCGCAGTGGTTAGAGCTGTTGCCTTGCAGCGAGAAGGTCCTGGGTTCGCTTCCCAGCCTGGGATCTTTCTGCATGGAGTTTGCATGTTCTCCCTGTGCATGCGTGGGTTCTCTCTGGGTACTCCGGCTTCCTCCCACAGTCCAAAAGGTTAACTGGTCTGTCTAAATTGTCCTTAGGTGTGAGTGTGTGTGTGTGTGTGTGTGTGTGTGTGTGTGTGTGTGTGTGTGTGTGTGTGTGTGTGTGTGTGTGTGTGTGTGTGTGTGTGTGTGTGTGTGTGTGTGTGTGCGCATAATTGTTTGTCCTGTGTGTCTCTGTGTTGCCCTGCGATGGACTGGCTCTCTGTCCAGGGTGTACCCTGCCTGATTGCCCATTGACCGCTGGAGATAGGCACCAGAACAACCCCCTCCCACACACACACACACACACACACACACACACACACACACCCCTGCGACCCTACGTGTACAAGCGGGTTCAGAAAATGGATGGATATATTATATTATATTACATATATCGTAAGTGAATTTACTTTTAAACTACTGCTAAAATGATTTTGTAACTCCTTCATCAGGCATCAGCTCAAACAGAAGACAGCTTCACTGATGGTTCATTTTGATCTTTAGCTGTTGTTACACACTTATTTTTGTGTGTTCAAATTTAGAATAAACAAACACAAAGCCAGAGTTCCTGATCCCTGATTTCCTGATCCAGGTGTTAAACACTAGATCAAACATGGAACTGCTAATGAGAATTTGATCCAAATGAAAAACCTGTTTAACTTCCTTTGAAAACAAAAAAATGTAAAGATGTTCCAGGATTTATCTAGTCTCATCAAATATACCAGACATACACTTATTTTCATGAACATCTCCAGCTGTTTTATCAAAAAAATAATTTGAAACGACTATCTGCTGCTTTGATCCAGGGCAGAGTATTCGTGAACTTCTTAATCCTCCAAAGACTGAAGAGGAGTTGAAGAGGGAAGCCCAGGAGGGACACGACGCTTACATCCATAGCCACAGCTCCTATTTTGTTGGTAGGCATCAGCTGTATGTGCGAACTGCAGCATCCTCCGAAGCTGAACGTGTATTTTCCTCCACAGGTGAGAAAATGGATAGAAAATACAACAGGAGTCACTTTGATAAAGACGCCACGTTTGGGCTGCAGACGCCACATTTCAGAGATGGACGCAATGTTGGGAAAAGTCTCCGCTGGCTAGGAGAGCCACTGAAGTAATTTCATGCATATCTGATGTCAGGGACGGATCTACTAGGGTGAAAAAGAAAGCCGTGCTACCCCTGCTGCCACCCCAGCTGGCAGCTGGAAATTAAATAAATAGTTGTGGCATTACAAACGTTAATGTTGCATGTCCAAAAACATTGAACACAGCACAAAGTCGCCCATGCAATGGATTAAAATGCAGCAAAAGTCACAGGTCCGATTACATTGAACGCAGCACACTCACCATCGGCGCTCGAGTTCTGAGCAGCAGAAGACCGCGGTCAAGTGAGCCGTCATTTGTGAGCAGCGGTCAAGCCAGCCGCATCTTATCCGCCGCGAAAATTTCATTGCGCGTTTACAACAGTCATTACGGTAACGCATTTTGCAAGGGAACTGCCCATCTCGTGACAGTCTGGTTGCATATTCAAAAATTCATAAAAAATCATCCTTCATAGCTGATGTACAACTTTCACCACATCCTTACTCTGGAACACCCACTGTACCTGTGTGCCACATTTCAGACATATTTACTATAGAAATCTTCAGATATTAAAGCAAACTTGTATTCAGTCCAATACAGTCAATACAATTATGTCATTTTTCAAAAATTTATAAAAAGTCATCCTTCATAGCTGATGCACAACTTTCACCACATCCTTACTCTGGAACGCCCACTGTACCTGTGTGCCACATTTCAGACATATTTACTATAGAAATCTTCAGATATTAAAGCAAACTTGTATTCAGTCCACACTCGTGACAGTCTGGTTGCATATTCAAAAATTCATAAAAATGAAATATATATATATATTATAAGTATATATATATATATAAGTATATATGTATATATATGTATATGCATATGTATATATATATATATATACATATATATATATATATATATATATATATATGTATATGTATATATATATATATATATATATATATATATATATATATATATATATATATATATATATATACATATACGTATATATATATATGCATATATATATATATATATATATATATATATATATATATATATATATATATATATATATATATATATATGTATATGTATATATATATATATGTATGTATATATATATATGTATATATATACATATATATACGTATATATATATATGTATATATATATATATATATATATATATATATATATATATATATATATATATTTATGTATATTGTCACGCCCTGTCCTGTCTACTCTTAGGTTTTGTCTGTTCTCCGTTAATTGCTCCCACCTGCCTCTTGTTTCCCAATCACCATAGCTCCCGCTCCTCTTGTATTTAAACCCCTTCTGTTCTGTGTTCCCTGTCGTGTCATTGTTTCAGTGTTCCAGCGTGTGACTCTAATAAATCAATGTTAGAAGTTCTCACCTGCCTGCCTGTTTCCCTCCCCGCGTGTGGATCCTTGCCTCACCTCAGCTCACCTCGCCACACGCTCGTGACAGAATGACACGACCCCCTGAAGGGTCCAGCGGGGAGATCCTCCCATGGAAGTATTTATTCCAGTTCTTCTCCGCCGACTGTCGACCGGCTTCTCCTTCCCCAGCTCCAGCTCCGCCTCGCCGCAGACGGCGTCCCCGACCTTCTGCCTCGGCGTTCCTCGCCGCCCTTCCGGAACCGGACGGGACGTTGGAGGGAGAGATGCTCCGGGATCGCTCCGGCTTCGAGGGCACGGGGCTGGCTTTCTGCTCCCCCGGGGTTGGTCCACGGCGTGGGGAGAGACGCCGGAATCCACCGCAGCCCTGCGCTTCAGGACGGAGCTGCGAGCCCACCGCCGGCCGTGCTCGGCGAGCCAGTTCGGACACGCCCCCGGTCAGACCAGCTGTCCCGTCTCCGGCCGAATCGGCGTCTGCAGAAGGAGGAGCTGCGCTCGCAGCCCTGTGGGCGGAGCACGCCAGTCTACAGGTTGAAACAGCCCAGGTTCGTCAGACCATCGAACTCCAAGTCCTCCAGCTAGATGATCTGCTCGCTGAACTCCGCGGGCTCCAGCTGGACGATCTGCTCGCTGAGCTCCAGCTGGACCACCTGCTCGCTGAGCTCCAGCTGGACGATCTGCTCGCTGAGCTCCAGCTGGACGAACTGTTCGCGGCTCCGGCTGAACCAGCTGTCCCGCCTCCGGTCCACTCGGCTCCTCTATCATCTGTGGGAGGTGGAGCCACACCCACAGTCCAGCCAACTGAGCTGGCCAGTCAACGGGCTGAGCTGGTCCGGCATCAACAGAGCGCCCATTCTAGTCAGCTCCGACTCGACGCTCTGCGCTCCCTGTCTTCAGCACTAGCACTGCTCGTTCACTCAAGGCCTGTTCCAGGGGGGGTCCAGGGGCAGACGGTTCCGGTTCCGGCCCAGAAGCAGACAATGCGGGCCCAGAAGCAGACGGTACCAGCCCAGAGGTCAGCGGTTCGGGGACCGGCGGTCCAGAAGCCAGAGGACCAGAAGCGGATGAAAGTCAACACCGCCTCCATTCCAAGGGTCGACGCCTCCATTCCAAGGGTCGACGCCTCCATTCCAAGGGTCGACGCCTCCATTCCAAGGGTCGACGCCTCCAATCCAAGGGTCGACGCCTCCAATCCAAGGGTCGACGCCTCCACTCCTGAAGTTGGCTCGTCTGATGACGTCGCCGCCTCCACTCCTGAAGTTGGCTCGTCTGATGACGTCGCCGCCTCCACTCCTGAAGTTGGCTCGTCTGATGACGTCGCCGCCTCCACTCCTGAAGTTGGCTCGTCTGATGACGTCGCCGCCTCCACTCCTGAAGTCGGCTCGTCCGATGACGTCGTCGCCTCCACTCCTGAAGTCGGCTCGTCCGATGACGTCGCCGCCTCCACTCCTGAAGTCGGCTCGTCCGATGACGTCGCCGCCTCCACTCCTGAAGTCGGCTCGTCCGATGACGTCGCCGCCTCCACTCCTGAAGTCGGCTCGTCCGATGACGTCGCCGCCTCCACTCCTGAAGTCGGCTCGTCCGATGACGTCGCCGCCTCCACTCCTGAAGTCGGCTCGTCCGATGACGTCGCCGCCTCCACTCCTGAAGTCGGCTCGTCCGATGACGTCGGCGCCTCCACTCCTGAAGTCGGCTCGTCCGATGACGTCGCCGCCTCCACTCCTGAAGTCGGCTCGTCCGATGACGTCGCCGCCTCCACTCCTGAAGTCGGCTCGTCCGATGACGTCGCCGCCTCCACTCCTGAAGTCGGCTCGTCCGATGACGTCGCCGCCTCCACTCCTGAAGTCGGCTCGTCCGATGACGTCGTCGCCTCCACTCCTGAAGTCGGCTCGTCCGATGACGTCGCCGCCTCCACTCCTGAAGTCGGCTCGTCCGATGACGTCGCCGCCTCCACTCCTGAAGTCGGCTCGTCCGATGACGTCGCCGCCTCCACTCCTGAAGTCGGCTCGTCCGATGACGTCGCCGCCTCCACTCCTGAAGTCGGCTCGTCCGATGACGTCGCCGCCTCCACTCCTGAAGTCGGCTCGTCCGATGACGTCGCGTCTGGTCTGACGTCTCCTCCGTGTCCGGTTCTGATGGTGACTCTGAAGGTCGCTCCGGTCCAGCCTGCAGGGACTTTGTCGCCGGTCCTGCCTGTGTCCCCGGCCCAGCCTGCAGGGCTCCTCTACCGCAGGCGCCGCCCTCCCAGGGCCCGTCGCCTCCTCTTCTGCCCCAGGCGCAGGCCCCCAAGGGTCCGTCCCCATCTCCTCATCTGCCCCTGGCACAGGCCTCCAAGGGCCTGTCCTCGCCTCCTCATCTGCCCCAGGCGCCAGCCTCCAAGGGACTGTCGCCTCCTCATCTGCCCCAGGCGCCGGCCTCCAAGGGCCCGTCGCCTCCTCATCTGCAGCAGGCGCCGACCTCCAAGGGCCCGTCGCCTCCTCATCTGCAGCAGGCGCAGGCCTCCTGACTCTGCTGATCCCTGCCGCCTCTCCTGTGGTCCCTCGGTTCCTCTGGGCCCTCCCTCCGTGTCCCCCTCCTCCCGCCCTGCTCCTTGTTCCTGTGGGCGTCTGGGATCCGCCCTTTGAGGGGGGGGTACTGTCAACGCCCTGTCCTGTCTACTCTTAGGTTTTGTCTGTTCTCCGTTAATTGCTCCCACCTGCCTCTTGTTTCCCAATCACCATAGCTCCCGCTCCTCTTGTATTTAAACCCCTTCTGTTCTGTGTTCCCTGTCGTGTCATTGTTTCAGTGTTCCAGCGTGTGACTCTAATAAATCAATGTTAGAAGTTCTCACCTGCCTGCCTCTTTTCCTCCCCGCGTGTGGATCCTTGCCTCACCTCAGCTCACCTCGCCACACGCTCGTGACATATATAATCTCTGTGTGAGTATGTATGTATTGCCACCCCAGAAAAATGTTTGCCCCTCTTCTGCCACCCCATAAATAATTTTCTAGATCTGCCCCTGTCTGATGTCCAGACATTTGATCATGGACAAAGTTAGGCTGATCTTTTGGTTTTTACAGGTTTTACAATCCCAACCCTGCTTGGGAAAGATCTGGGACCGAGGAAAAGCTGGCAGAACAATACGGCATCGTCACCAGAAGGTAAGTTTCTGTCCCGTCGTACCAGAGTTGTTCGTGTTTAACTGGAGTTTCTCATGTTTGATGTCGTCTCACCATAGCAGGAGGAAAAATGCATTGAATCTTCCACCTGAACACAGCTTTGGGAACGTCCATTCGCCAGATGAGTATGGTAGGTTTCTGTAAAATGATTTGTTTAAAAAAAAAAGACACAGTCTGATGTTTTTCAGCAGAAGACGGTGGATTACTTTGGTTTGTTTTCTGCGTAGGAATCAAAGACATTCTGCACCATCCAGAGCCGGGTCAGGAGAAGCAGCACAACAACGTCAGCGCCATTAGGAATCAGCTGAAGGCGATCAACTTTAACAACTTCCCGTCGCTGCTGAAGGCTTTCCAACATTACGACAAGGTAAGGATTGGAAAACGGGTTCACAACTTTTATTTTCTCTCCAGATACAACAAATAAAGTCACTTTCAGACTTCTAATCCCCAATTCTCCTAAAAACGTTTCTCTGTTTGCTGTTAATGATTAGGAGGGGAAGGGAAGGATCGACAGAGACGACCTGCGATCCGTGTGTCGAGAGTTCCACCTGAACGTGAACGAGGTGGTTCTGGATGGCCTGATGGACCTCTGTGACACAGACAAGACCGGACTGATCAGCTTTGTGGCGTTTGGGAACTTTCTCACCTGGAAGGAGATGATGCCCATCGACAGAAGAGATCAGTACCTCCTGACAGGCGGTCAGTGGAAGCACCTGCACCTTTACAGATGTGCTTTCTATCGGTGGTATTATTGTTGTGTCAACATGAACAATAGTAGACAAATTTCCATCTATTAGCTAAAGTTAAAGGTATGGTTCCCTCATTTATTCAACACATTTGCTGTGTTCTCTGACTGGAATTAATGCCTTGTAAGTCGTACTCTGGGGAAACAAAGCTCCGGTGCACCATTTCAGACTTCAGCTTTAGATCAAATAAATTAACGGATAAATGGAAGTTAGGCAAGGGAGAGCGGGGCAGGATTTTAAGTCTTTTTTTTTTATTTGAACATCACACTTCTGATTGGCTAACAGCAACACGACTACCACTGACTCTGTTTTGCAACATTGATGTTTTATTTCCACAAATAACACAAGCCTGGAGGAGTTATGTTTTGATGTGAAGTTGCTAATGCTAACAGTTAGTTTCTACTAGCCGAGACATTCTCTGTTGTTCCTGGACGCTAAACCAACAGAGCCTTCCCCGTCGCGAGTCAAGATGGTAAATGGCCTGTATTTGTATTGCGCCTTCTTAAGCCTGGGGCACACTGGAGACGGATGCGCCACGCCACTTCCGTGCCATCATTTTAAATAGAAGCCATTATAGTTAATGAGAGTGGGCGCTCTGGGAGCGCCGCGTCCCAGAAGCGCAGCTGTTTACAACATTGTGGCGTACTTTACAACAGACATTACGATGCGGAACGGCTTTACGGCACAAACCCAGTCGCAACTTTGATAACTTTAAGGTACCGTTTATCTTAACATATTGTAATGAATAGCGTATTTACCCATTTTTAATGAATTAAAGTCTCAAAAACATGACGGCAAGTCTGATCAGGTATTAAAAATAGAATCACTTTCTGTTCTCAAGTCCTGCGTAATGTGACTATTACGTGGCTAACCAAGAAGCGCTCAGCGCCTCTGTTGTGCCCCAGGCTTTAGGGTTCTACAACCCCCCAAGGCGCTGCACAACACAATCAGTCATTCACCCATTCACACGCTGGTGGTGATGAGCTACAATGTAGCCACAGCTGCCCTGGGGCGCACTGGCAGAGGCGAGGCCTTCTGATTACTGGACAATCCGCTCTACCTCCTGAGCTATTGTGACAGTGTGACGTAGATCTGTCAGGCTTTTCAAATCCTAGAGTTTCACCGTCTATTTTCTATCAGGAGCTAATGCAGGAAATGGGTGTAGGAGACTATCTTCATGTTCAGCCTGCATAAAAAACTCAGAGTGACTGATCATGATCAGAAATAATGATTTAAAACGATTGAAACCGTTTCTAAGCCATGCCGACCTTGAGAAGGCAGTCCATGCTTTAATCAGCTCCAGGATTGAGCCGTTAACATCGGTGTCTCAGCGCTGAACCCAGCAGGCTGCAGTTGGTCCAAAATACAGCTGCACACCTTTTGACTGACACCCCTAGACACGAGCACAGCCCTTCTGTTTTGTCTTGTCTGCATTGGCCTCCTGTTTGATTTCAAAATGATTTAAAACTCTTATTGTTTGTTTTTAATGCTCTTAATAGTTTGGCCCAATCCTACATTTCTGTCCTACTGAGTTTTGGCATCAGTGCTAGATGTTTGAGGTCTTCATTCCACTGGGGCGACTGGGCTTTCTCAGTAGCAGCACCCCGACTCTGGAGCCATCTTCTACTGGACTTAGGCTTAATCACCGACCTCGGCCTTTGCAAATCCAATCTTACAACAATTTTTATTCAGGAAAGCTTTTAATAATCGGTAGTGGTGTGCTTTTAACAAACTTTTCAATATTTTCTTATTGTATATGTTATTTCTTTATGTTCTCAAATTGGTCTTGTAAAGCACTTTGGCCATAGTTGACTGACTGTCAATGCTTATGAGTTGTTGAGATAAGAACATTCTTGTTTTTACTGCAGAGCATCCAGTTGACACTGATGGGAAACAAACATCAGCAGAACCTTTCTCTTCTGAATCCTTGATAAAGCCTGAGGACCTGGAGCCCATTAAGCCAGGCAGTCCTCTTAAGACCGTCAAGACCATCAGGACAGCCAGAACAGCACCAGGACACTTCCTGACCAGCGCCTCCCTCACCGTGGCCAACAAGCTGCTAACATCAAGTGAGATATAACAGATAGTGTAATTATACCTTCAATTAGCAGTAACACTAAATTATGAGTTTTGGTGCAGAGGACTAATGAATAAAACACAAATATTGCTGTTTTCAACTGAATTATTGGGACTGTCAAAAGGGGATTTGTTGAGTGAAAACACAACATTTAAAAGGCAGATGAATAAAAAACAGACACTTTTACAAAAACACTAAACGTTTCCTATCAGCTGTCAAGTTAACAAAAACACAACAAATGATCTAAACTTTGATTTATGACGGGCGTTTCATCATGAGCAACATTTTCGTACCTGGTTTTTAGACAGTCGCACCTACGGGATCCGATCTGAGCACTCAGCTCCACGCACCAGTAAGACCAGCGGAACCATCAGTAACAAGTGTACAGTTGCGGATCTTCTACATCCATCCATTTACGCTCTCCACGGCATCCATGAGGAGGACCTCAGATGTCCTCGCACCAAGGAGGAGGTGAGTTATATACTCGTTCAGGTCGGAAAAGCTTTTCTCTTTCTGATCACCTGATTCAGTTCAATTCAGTTTATTTATATATAGCTTCAAATGACCACAAGAGACATCTCAAGTAAGTATTCCAATTGAGTTCAGTTTATTATGCCAATCAAATTTCCCTTACAACAACTCAGCAGATTGCATGCAGTTGCTGAATTGTGTTGAGGCTTTACAACAATCCCCATACTGAGCAAGCATGTAGCGACAGTGGAGAGGAAAACTCCCCTTTAACTCATTCACTACCAGCCATTTCCTCTTCGCCGCCAGTGTTTTTCAGAGTTCTTACTGTTTTTTTAAGAGTCATAGAACGTTGCGCGCTAGGATGATGTCAACTTCAAAACTACCAAAACAAAGAGGAGACTCACCTCTTATATCAGGAAGAATCCGCACGTTTCGACTGTTATCCGTTCTTTCATAATCCGTTGTTGAATTGTGATCGGCAGAAGCTTTTCCGGTTCGCGCCTCACCTTTTTTACAACAGCGGCCCAAAACGATCTCCCAACACATAGATTTTCTGCTTCCTGATCACGTGACGTGTGACGTACGCAGATGAAGATCGGCTTCAGAGCTGGGATGTTTGCTTTCACGGTGCGGGGGCTCGTTCCGAAGCCCACACAGTAAAAAAAATGCAAATGACGCCTTTTACACACAGACATACACACACACACACACACACACACACACACACACACACACACACACACACACACACACACACACACACACACACACACACACACACACACACACACACACACACACACACAGACATACACACACTTACATGTACACACACACACACACACACACACACACAGACATACACATTGTAACGTGAGGACACAGCCTGGCTGGCTCGCCAATTGTAGTGAAATATAGATCGTATATTTATACACTGTAACTAGATCTAGATATTATAATCAGAAGCGGTTGTTTTTATCATCAGGGAGTTTACTTAAACACTTTGTAGTGACTGAGAGACAAGAAAAGAGAGAGTTGGGATCGTTTAAGAATCTTTAATTTCTATAATTATAAATTCTTACAATCTACCAGGACTAACTCTGTGATGGATGCATATGGATTGGAATGTTATCGTGTTGGTGTGTGTGTGTGTGTGTGTGTGTGTGTTCAGAATCTCTAGGCCGACGTAGCGGATCTGGTTGTTATGACTAGGAACCACAAGGCTTCAGAAGCTGATGACATGAGCAGCCATTTTGCCGTGACTACGTACCGTCTGGAGCCTCCCGTGTTAGATCAGGAAATGCCAGGTCCTCGGACCTTCAGATGTACTGGAGCTGGTAGAACAGCGGTCACAGCACGACAAAGCCCGTCTGCGGATCGACTCCCAGTAGTAGCGGCAGGCGTCAGCGAGTTCAGCTCTTATTTTGAAGGGACGTCGTCTTGTTGTTCAAACGATGGAAATCTCCAGCTTGACAGTTCTCAGCTTAAAGTAGGAAAGTGCAGCTGGCCAGCCTGCACCTTTCTTAGCGATGACAAAGTGGAACTCCTTAGGAACTCACAAACATAAACACCTCACACACATGCATACACTGCTTATTTAAATATTATAAAAATGCAAATGTTACAAACAACTGGAGGAAACATATCTACAACAATCTCTACAATGTCTTCTTTATTCACACATTTGGAAGAGCGTTAATGAAAATAAAAGTAAAAACAAAACAAAGGAAAAGTAGTTCTGACTTTAATTCTGACTTTTTGACTTCTGAAAAAAGTTATAATTCTGAGATTAATGTCGAATCTATTGTTTTTCTCTTCAGTGGCTCTAACCATCTTCCATACACACAGATGATCATTAATCCATTTACAGCTCATTAACTTTTTATATGACTTAATTTTAATTTCTAACAAATAAAATTTCATCTGAATCTTGTCTTTTATCTCAGATCGTAGAGATCTTCGGGAATATTCCTGAGGAGACATTTGAGGAGGCGTGGAAACTGGCGACCATGAATCATTCCAACGGGGAAGTGAGCATTGAGGTTTTGTGTACCACGCTGAAGGACATTAAGGCCATGTAGACCTTACAATGAGCTTTTTGACCAATCAAAGCATGAGAGAGTAAACCTTTATATGAATAAAAACGGTGCAACATTTGTGTGTGTAAGACTTGATCTGCATATATTTTACACCATAATTTTATTAATTAGCTGTTATTAGGGTCTGAAACACATGCAGGCATGTTTACAGACACTCGGCATAAATCGTGTCAATCGCATTAATGAGTCAGGATGACATCCACCACCCTATAATATTCATATCAGAACATAAAACAGAGAAGATATTAGCCTTTGTTCACCGTTTTCTCCACTTGTTTTTGTTTTCTTGTTAATTTCCATTAAACTGAGTGACGCACAGACGTGTTAAATTGTTTAACGTGTTTTTAGTGTGTCACAGAGCACACACAGACAAGCTAAACACAATCTTTTAATCTCATTATGACTCTTCAAGATGCGCCACTGGAACCAAAAAGACCCACGCAAACTTAAGAAGAAGGCTGGAAACACCAAACAGGGAAATTAGAATAATCCTCCATGAACAAACTAATGACAGCGTCCTCTGTGCTGCTCAGATCTGCTTTCATCATTAATAACGCTGCAGGCGGATTCTGGAGAATGAAATGACACGCAGCATTCAGGAAGCTGTCAAATGTGACGCCTCTTGCCTTTCTGGCAGAAACTACAGACGTCAGCAGGGTGAAGGTGGAGAAAAGTGACAGAATTAGTCATTTGCGCATGCAGGAATTTAATATTAGTCTATTTTAAGACAGAATAATGCAGTTTTTCAGCTCATGAACTGTTCTACTTGTGTCTGCCATGCAAAACCGGCTTAAATCAAAACACTGAATGTTTATTTTTTGTAATTTAGTTAGCATTCGTGTTAAAAAGGCTGTAAAGTACATAAAACGTCAGAGTTATTTTATTTAGTCTCATCTTTCTGTCAGAAATTTGGATGCTGTGATGATACTGCCTGCTGATGAAGCTTAAGGTAGAAACAAGGACAAACCACAGAGTCTCTACGTCCAAACACCGCAGCAGACTAAAACAAGTAAAATAGATTTTATTTTTGCTAAATTAACAAGAAAATAAAAGATCAACATTATTATGGTCGGCCGGGGTGTCAGGAAGTCACACAATAGGCAACATTTATTTTCCAAGCTTTATTTTAATCTGCGTCACATTTAGCAGTCTCAGGCATCCACCTTAACTTCTCATTCAAGTACTTCTTCTCTCTCTCCTACCTATGTTCTTCTCTCCTATACTGCCCCCTAGTGGTAAACACAACAAACATATATGAGGAAAAAAAGGAAGTACAATGGAGTGGTGCCTCGCCTCTGTCAGTACGCAATCAGGGCAGCTGTGACTACATCGTAGCTCATCCCCACCAGTGTGTGAAAGTGTGTGTGTGTGAATGACTGATTGGGTTGTGAAGTGCCTTGGGGGGTTGTAGAACCCTAAGAAGGCGCTATACAAATACAGGCCATTTACCAACGTACGGGTCTTTCATCTGTGCCTCACTAACATTTTTTATTTAAAAGGTTTTTGCTTGGGTTCAACAATTACATTAATCAAGATTAATTACAAAGCCCCCTAATTATATGTGTGTGTGTGTGTGTGTGTGTGTGTGGGTGGGTGGGTGGGTGGGGGGGGTTCTGTCATGCCCCTGCTCCAGCCAAGCCCCGTTTCCCCAGCAACCACTACCAGCTCACCATCAACCTCATCCAAACCACCTGTTACGAGCAGCACCCCTTTTCAGCCACAGGATGGCCTCAGCGGCCTTCTGCTTCGCCTGTCTCCAGGTGAACAGGTGTTGGTAATCGCTCCTAATCATGGATCAGCTGTTTAAAGCTGGCCTCTTGCTCTCATTCAGTGAGAAGGTCCAAGGGTAGAGTAGACTGGAAACAGTTTATTCTATTCTCTTCTCCTCATTCGCTCTTTGGTAAAACTTGTCATAATTAGTCTTCGGTGCTCTCGGTTTTTGGATTTGGATTTGGATTTAGGATTTGACAATTCGGCAATTTGACTTTGGACCACATTTGACTTAGGCTTTGGATTTCCCCTTTTGTGTAAATAGGATATTCTCGGTTGTTTACCCCCATCGCCTTCTGGGTTGGCGTTTTTGGTTTCTTCTTATTAAATATTGCTCCTTTGGTTTTGTATATAGTATTGCTTTTTAATTCTTTGTAAATATTCCATTCCTTTTGTAATAAAATCCCTTGTTTTATAGCGACACAGCACTCTGTTTATTATTAAATCCACACACCACTTTTATTACTCCCCTCCTCATCTCTCCTAGAGAGCCGGGGACGTAATAATCTGGGGGCTCGTCCGGGATTTATTTATATATTACCATCTTTCCCGACATATTAGGTGTGTGTAAAAATATTAACTGTGTGTTTGTGTCCCTTAGAGGCGAAGCATGGCAACCTTTGACCTGCATGCATTTGTGGTGGCTCCTTCGCGCCGGCTTCTGGAGAGTTGCTGCAAAGCCGATCTGCGGCAGGTTGCCTCCCATTTCAGTCTCCCCCTTCCGAAGAAGCTCACCAAGGTGGCTCTTCAAAGATTGTTGGTGGACTATTTGGAGACTCAAGGACTTCTGCCTTCGCCTTCCACTCCTGGTGTGTCTCCACCGCCCTCTGATGCAAAACGGGCCGGCTCGTTCAGAAGAGGGAGACCCTCGCCTCAGCTCCGTCTTCTTCCGTTGAAGATTCGTCCCAGGAATCTGACTCGTCGGGGGCATGTTCTCCCCGTACTCTGCTCACTAAAGCCCGGCTGAAGCTGAGCTTAGCTCGCCTAAAGATCCAGGCGGAGGAGAGAGCTCATGAGCGACGCCATGAGCTGGATTTGAAAAGAATGGACACCGAGGTTCGCCTCCGGGAGCTCGAACTACAATTAGCCAACGTGCAAGCTACCTTCTCCGTGAGCTACCCCCTTGCCGCTGATCACCCAGCGGCCTCGTCACCGACTCAGCATGAACTGTCCCAAGACGCCACGTCTCCTCCGGCCCCCACAAAGTTGCCGCCCGCCTTCAATGTCTCCAAATGTGTTTCTGCCCTTCTGGGAGACTGAGGTGGAAGGGTTTTTGTCTGCTTTCGAGAGGATTGCGGTAACTCTCGGGTGGCCTCGTGAAGTGTGGTCGTTTCTCTTGCAGTGTAGGCTCACAGGTAAGGCCCTTCAGGTAATTTCGGCTCTGTCTCTAACGGGCAGTTCTAATGATGAATGTGTAAAAGCCGCCGTGTTAAATGCGTATGAACTCGTTCCTGAGGCGTATCGTCAGCGCTTTCGTTTTGAAAAACCTCGGCCCAACCGGACTTATGTTGAATATGCTCATGAGAAATCGGTCCTCTTTGAAAAATGGTGCTCTGCTTCAGGAGTAAACTCCTTAGCGGATTTAAAAGAGCTAATTATGGTGGAGGAGTTTAAAAGACATGTGCCTGAGAGGCTCGTTTTGTACCAAACGAGCAGAAGGTCTCAACTCTTTTGGCTGCTGCGCAGCTAGCAGATGATTTCAAGCTAACTCATCGGTCTTGGGAGTCGAGAACCAACCCCGGTCGACGTAGGAGATCCTCTGACCCTAGTGACCTTCCTGAGTGTTTTTATTGCCACGAAAAAGGTCATTTCATTAGAGATTGTTTTCGTGTCCAGCGGAAAAACCGGAGGAGCGTGAAACCTCCTTCACCGAAGCCAGCAGCTGCTTGTTCTGTTGTCTCGGATGAGTTGGATAACTGTGAAACCCCTCACTCGAGTTTTAAGCCATTTTTGTCTGCTGGAGTGGTGTCTCTGTTAGGAAGCCATATTGGCCAGGATGTAGATCATTTTAAGAGATACCGGTGCTGCTCAAACCCTGATGAAACTGAATGTGCTACCGTTTTCCGTAACCAGTCGAGCTGGTTCTTCTGTGTTGTTGCGGGGTGTTGACTTGGGCTCTATTCCAGCGGAGGTTCGTTCTATTCACCTCTCCTGCCCTTTGAGGACTGGTGACCTAAAGGTAGCCATTTTAGAGAAGCTACCGATCCAGGGAGTAGACATGATTTTGGGAAACAACGCTGCTGGTGGATTAGTTTTGCCTCCTCCTGAGTCCATCTCTCGTCCGGAAACCTGTGCCGACTCAGATTTACCGCCTGTTTGCGTCATAACCCATGCTGAGTGTAAGAAAAGCTCAAAGTCCCTTGGTGGTTCAGTGTCCCCACTGCTAGCTGATGACGTCACCTGACCAGATCCGGCTGTAAAAATGCCTGATCTGGCCTCTAGAGGTCCTCGTGTGGTTTTGCATATTTCTCATAAATCGTTGGCTGATGTTCAGAAAACAAATCTACGTTTGACGTCCCATTTTGCTCGAGGGAACCTTCTCTGTTGTGGCTCAACCTCTGAAAACCGTGTTGAGTCCTCGCTTTCATTTATCATGGGGCCCAGTGATATCAAACCGCTTTGTGTCTCTGCTAATCCTCATTGGTTGTGCTCCCGTTCTAGTTGCTCCAAATCTCTCGATTTTACAGTCGATCTACGTTCCTACCCTGACCTATGGTCATGAGCTTTGGGTAGTGACCTAACGAGATTGCGGATACAAGCGGCCGAAATGAGTTTCCTCCTCAGAGTGGCTGGGCTCTCCCTTAGAGATTGGGTGAGATGCTCGGTCATCTGGGAGGGGCTCAGAGTAGATTCGCTGCTCCTCCACATCGAGAGGAGCCGTTGGAGATGGCTCGGGCATCTGGTCAGGATGCCTCCTGGACGCCTCCCTGGTGAGGTTTTCTGGGCACGTCCAAGCGGGAGGAGACCTAAAGGTAGACCCAGGACACGTTGGAAGGATTACGTCTCTCACCTGGCCAGGGAACGCCTTGGGATTCCCCCGGAGGAGCTGGCCCAAGTGGCTGGGGAGAGGAAAGTCTGGGCCTCTCAACTTAGGCTACTGCTCCCACGACCCGACTCCGGATAAGCAGATGAAAATGGATGGATGGATGGATGGATGTGCTTATAAATGCTCGAAATAATATTTTCACTTAATTTCCTCAAACATTCAAGCACTTTCAAAGCCTTGAAAAAACCCACAATGGAATTGAAACATTTTAAAGGATTTCAAGTACCTGTAAGAATCTGTAAAATAAGTGAAAATCTGCTAAAATCCACAGAAAAGCGTTGAAATACCTGCAATTTAAAAGATTAAAATGTGGCTGATTGAGAGGAAATTATCTGAAGATTAAGAGCAGATTAAAACTTTTGCTCAGCAGTGGAATACTCTGAAAACCATCAGCTGTGGAAAAAAACAGACACTGAGATTTTTCCAGTTCATAATTATTTCTCTGAGTAAATGTTTGTTCTTTTTGTCGTTCAAACGTCTCTATAGGGAGAAATAAAGTAAACAAACCTTTTGGCACACAACAGTCGAGCTAATTAACAATCAGAAAGTTGATCTGAGCAAAGAGCCGGCAGACGCAGCTCAGACTCTTTGTAAACAACAGAAAAAGACTCAAACTTCAGGATCCGTACTCATAAACAGCAGTGGCAACTTTCATCTGTAGGCTGCCATCTTCACTGGAGGACACTTTGAAGATCTTAGTTCCTTCTGGGTCCTCTGGTCCTTCGTGTGACGACAAGAACCAGAACCTCACGAGGATGGAGCAGAACTTTCTACCTGCAGAAGGAGTCGAGGGTGACTGAGCAGCAGAGATCTTAGCTTCATTTAACCTTAACGAGCATCAGAAACTCACCATTCTGATCATAAACAACAGAAATATCTATTGGCAGCATGAATAGCAAATCGTCTATATTGACAGCAAGCTGCTTCCTCTGAGCATCACTCAAAGACCGACACCTCTTTTCCACATGTTCACGCATTTGGTGGAAGAAAATCAACCCAGTTTTAGAAGCAGACAGTAAATATTTCCTGTAAAAAAATTGATTTAGTTTGCGTTACCTCATCAGACACGAGCCCTTTCAGCTCATGGTACCTCCCACAGGACATCTTCCAGGAGATCTGGACCAAAGCCTGTGGTGGACGAGGACGGCACACTAGTGTCAGACAAGGATAACTCGAGTAAACACCCCAAAATATATATAATCCCTCACATCAGGACTGTTTGATTTTAGACGCACTGGAGGGTCTTCATACAGAAATGGCCTTTAAAGTCAAAGTTTAGACAGGATCTATTTGATGGCTCCAGCAAATGGTCTGGAGAGCAGCAGCAGAGCAGCCCCAGACTATCACACTACCGCCACCATGTCTGATTGGTGCTAGGAAGTTTTAGTTTGACTCCAGAAGAGACAGGACACACCGTCCAGAAAGTTCTGCGTCTGTCTCATCAGCCCACTTCCCCTCAAGTCTCTGGGATCATTGTGGGATGTTTTTTGGGGAAATGAGAGTCGGGTCTTTGTGTTTTTGGTCAACAGAAGTTTTGGTCTTGGAAATCTCTCAAAGGAGCCATATTTGATGACACCTCCCCCTATGGGTGAATCATGACCTCTGACCCTATGAAAGCACATAGCAGATGTCAATTATATATATATATATATATATATATATATATATATATATATATATATATATATTTTTTTTTTTTTTATTTTTTTTTTTTCATTGGATTCTCATAAAATGGAGCAGGATGTGTTTCTAGATACGTTATGCTTTCTATTGTCAGTGCATTTTGTATTTAGACGTGTTTTTAGACATTTGTTTGCTCATCTGATATCTTTTGAGAGACAGAATGTTAAAATCACCAGTTTTTCGATTAAATCAATAATAATCAAAAACTAGAGCTAATTTCCAACAGGAGGTGATCTAACATCAAAATATCCCAAATGGTGTATTTTATGGTCAGGTGCAGGTTTACAACTTTATTGATAAAATATTAAATATTAAATTTTTGGTGAAATTAAGGATGTTGTGGAAAAAGCCTGCTGGAGTTTTATTTCCCAGGAGGTACCTGCTTCATTCCTCTCTCAAACTCAGTAGAGTTTAAACTGATCTCAAAGAACAGATAAACCAGAACCATCTGGACTCTGCAGCGGATCCGGTGTTATGTCCATATGTGTTCCCCCCTCGAGATCTGTTTCTTTTGCACCCAGCTGCAAATGGAAATTAACAGAAAATAACCTTCACCCTTACCCTAACCACGACCACCCTGGCACCAAAAATTTATGTTTTGCATAAATATAATTTTTGAAAATATTGTGTGTAGCACCATTTTTATGTTTGTTTCAGGGTTATGGTTAGGGTAAGGGTTAAGACACACATTTTCTGCAAACTCGCAGCTGGGTGCAAAAGAAACAGATCTCGAGGGGGAACACATATGGACGTAACACCAGAACCGGGTCTGGCAATAGAACACATCCGCTACAAACTACTTCACACAACTCACCCTATATTCTACCCACAAAGAATTTAGCGACCGCTGCTGCGTTCCAGGGCTCCTGGAAATATCCACTTTGGTTCACGATGAGTTTATGCTTCAATTGATGTAACATTTGCATAAATTGTGTACAAAATAATTAAATTCTGTGAACTCTCATTTTATATCTATTGCATTCATTTAAAACCATTTTCTTTTAAATTTCTTGAAATGATAAAACTTTGTATTCTTGGTTCTGTTTCTAACAATTTAGTCCTGAACTTTCCTAAGATATTTATCAATATATGTGAATGCAATAAATGAAAAAGCATCACAGTTATTATAGAAATGTAAAGAATAAAATATACCAAAACATACACATGTATGTAGATGTGAAGTGTTTAGATATAATCGTTAAAACATTTGGCTACTGTCAGTGTTTGAACATCCTCAGTTCCATAAAATAAATTAGAAACAGAAACGTGATTTATTGTATAGATTATTTAAGGCCCAAAGTACAGAAAAGAGATTAATAATCACTGTCAGTGACACAGTTGGCTGCAGTTTCCAATTTAGATCAGCAGGGGGCAGAGCTGTTCTGTTTCACGTGGAAACTAAGCAGTTTTGCTAGCATGTAGCACCCCCTAGTGTCCATTATTAATTATCTGTAGTCAAAGCAAAATTGAAACTTACTTCCTCTCTGTGTGTTAATCTCTTTAACATCATAAACTGCTGAAATATCTCCTCAGCCTTTATTAGTTTCTACATCACAAAATCAAACTAATCAGCTGTGTTCACAATCTTAGATATAGAGGAAATGTGCTGGAAGCAGACTGCAGTGTCACATAGTAAGTCCACAGGCACTCTAAAGTTGCAAATGCGTTACACTGACAGAGAGCGATGGGGGTTCTGAGTGACATTTCATTAACCCTGTAAAGGGTCAT